GGCGGTCCAACCATCGTTCATGACCATCATGTCTGCCAGTGTCCTGACACTTCTTCCCTGTTCTTTGTTGGCTTTAATTGACAAACTTTGGTTTTCACAGCAACGCTTAGCAGGGAGTGAGTGCTGTTAGATGGTGCCCCTTTAGGGAGGTTTCCTACAGTTGTTTCAAAATTTGCACATTTCTTTGGTTTGAGTTTGTGAGCCGTCATCGCTCTTACTGGTCTGGGGCCTAACTCTGACACATTCTGTTTAACTGAGACACGATGGAGGTAGAGAAACCATCACTTACTGGCTCCAGGAACAACCAGCAGGTACAGCCCTTCCAACGTGGCGACCACAGCGTCATTGTAGAGATTCTTCCAGGGAATCTTCAACGTCAGCTTACCTGCAAACCCAAAGACGGACAGATATGTGCATGGATGCTGTGTGTGGTTTGTTTGTCAGGTGAGATGGTAAGTTGGGTTGAAGATACAGACATTGTTTTTGTATAATCAGAGAATTAAACTTTGGGTCATTTATCTATTTGTTGTTATTTCTTCAAGGGAGATATTTGGCTAAGATTGAAGCGTTGGTATAATCGTTTAGATATTTGAGTGTCTTGGAAGGCGTACCTTTTAAAAGATGGAAACATAAAGATCTACGAAGATGCCATCCCTCTTTGTTTGCCTCAAATACAGTAATAGTCAGCAAATACTCACACAGGAAGTGGATTTTTTCTTTTTTGATTGTGCCTTCCCATGTGCCTGAGATGACTTTAAGCTTGTTTGATTTTTTTAAGTCCCCACTGCACAGGTTTTAGAGATTTCAAGCAGTAAAGACAGAAAGTTTCCTGGTGTTCTTCGTTTGTCTATTTTGTTTGTTTTCTTCTTTTTTATTCAGATTTTATCCTCACTGTCTTTCCTTTTGTTTAATGGTTATTACTAACATCTTAAGATTTATTTTTGAAATGTAATTGATATTTCTCACATTAAGTGTTTATGGACTGATCTTTAAGAAGGGCTACTAAACTTTTTTTTTATTTTTTTAATCACAATTAATCTAATTTTCATATGCATGTTTGAAATTCCCCCATTTTGCATTTCAAACACATTTTGATCAGTTTTTAATCTGGATTTTTACTTTCTTGAAATAAGGTTGTTTTTACTTCCTGTCTGGATAGGAACCTGCTTTTATTTTGAAAGAATTAAGGGTTTTCAGGTAGATGAAAAGATACAACATTGCCTTAACCACGGTTAAAGGATTCTTTAAGGATAGAAAACTAAATGAAAACAGCAAAAAGGAATGTGATGTGTGTGATGTCATTAGGTGGATATCACCTTTTGACTCGTCAGCTGTCTGAGAGATTTTTTTAAATGAAATGAGACATTTAAAGATGCAGCCGTATCCATTATTTCCATCACTCTGGCTGCGGGAAAACGCTAAGGGGGCTTATCTACGGCATGCCAAAGGGAAAAAGGTGATGAATGCAATCGAAATTATTGATGCATTAATTTTGGACCTTAATCACGTCATGATTAAACGCTTACAGCCTGAGTTTGAAGTCATCTATTGTTTATCTATTGTTGCTAAATTCATGATCATTTTTCACCCTCTGTCATTCCTGTCTTGGGTTTTATCTCATCGTTAACTAGCATGTGTATGATTTATGTTTTATTTCTGTTATTGCTGTTTTATCTCGGGCTTATTTAAAATGGATTTTGTTGTTGTGATTTCAGGAAGAACTCACCAATCTGTCCGGCCTTCACTTTGAACGGCACATTAAACTCGCTCTGAAACACACAATCGCTCGTTATAAAAACTGACACAATGAGTTTATTAAAGCATGTTTCAGTCCCTGTCATGCACATTCAGCCTTCAGACACACAGCACATGTATCAGAATCACAACCTGAGACTTACCAAAGCGTTCTCCTTCACCTTCAGGTTCTCAAGCACGACATTTCCTGCAGAGACACAGAAGAGAAAGACATCATCAGGGGGCGTGGACAGACTTTTTGGACTGGGGGGGCCCAACTGGGGCTTGAAGTTTGTGCACACATGAAGGAAGAGCGTTTATTTAACTCCTTCTGTCTGCTGAGGCGGGTTTTAAGCCCTCTTGATGAAGCGTTAGATCACGCCCACCTGTCAATCATGGCAGCTACACACCTAACTATGGATAACTTGTATTGTTCATGAAATCATATCGGAGCCTTTTAAAAAAAAAATGCACCCCCCTGTGTGCCTAATCAGACCTATTTCGTTTTTTGTACCAGGCTGTGAACGTGTTAATTTATGCTGTAAAAGCTGCTTTTTTTTGCCTGTTGTGTGTATGTGACTTCCAGTGTTCCTGGTGCAAGTGGACACTCGATGAACTGCAGGATTTTGCACTTCCGCATCGCTTCATTCTTCAAGACCGGAGGTTTCCGCTTGGTTGCAACACAAGGATTTTTTCACATAATTATATATCTGTATTTATGTTTCTATACCTTGTATGCTATAATTAGACCGGGCCAAGTGTGCCCAAACCCACACTTTGTGATTGAAACACTCAGGGGCTTCATTCTCTGACAAGTGGAGAATGCTGCAGATCGAGCTCGACACTCAGAGAAATCTCCTGTTGCTTGAGGCCCTTCAGGTGAGGGGAAAGCAGATGACCTTGTTGTTTTTGTGCTGTTTGCTTTGTGTGTGCGACCTCGAAGGATGATGATGATGTCATTCCCCCTGAAGCGTGGGTTGTTCTTCTCTCAGGAGACAGCACAGTAAGCTGCATCACTTACCAGCAGGCACAGGATCACTGGATCCTCGGGGACATGACCTCGGCCGTGCTCGACTAGAGAGCAAAGGATCGCATTGATGTAAAGACCTCTTTTCACTTGATATCTGATGTCATGTTAGTTTAGCAGAAGTAGCATGTGTGAATTTCCTCAAAGTTCTCGGTGACTTCTACAGTTAATATTTGAATCACAAAGAATGAGTGAGTACGTTTAACAGCTCATAAAGTCATCGGCACAGAGTGGACGAGTCAGATCCATTACAGTGATGCATGCATCTTCTCAATGCCTCAAAGTCTTTACTTTATACCATCAGAGTGCGTCTTGAAATGAAGACAAGGAGTTTCAGGTTTCAGATACGCTGCTGCTGCAGCCTGGAGTCTCCTGCAGGATGATCTGCGTCTTCTTCAAATCTTTTTAAAAGTAGATTAAAGTCCTTGGGGTCGATGCATTGGGTTATAGATGCTCTAAATATGACTTATCTGCTCTGTGACTTCAGGATATGTTGATCTACGTCTATAATTGTTCTGTGTTTAAATGTGCTGCTGCTTGTTTGGCCAGGACAGTCCTGTAAATGAGATTATTAAACTGCATGAGGTTTTCCTCGTTGATCCAACCATCCATCCATTTATTATGTTCTCCTTATCTGAGGCTGGGTCACGGTGGCACCAGGCTAAGAAAGTTGCCCGAGAGGTCCTTCTCCCGAGTAACAATTTCCAGCTCCTCTTGGGGGATCCCGAAGGCGTTCCCAGACCAGAAGGGATATATAATCCCTCCAGTGAGATCTGGATCTACCCCGGGGTCTCCTCCCGGTTGGATGACCCCAGAAGACCTCCCAAAAGAGGCATCCAAACATCCTAATTAGATGGCTGAAGCACCTTCACTGGATCCTTTTGATGCAAAGGAGTAGCGGCTCTAATCCGAGTTTCCCATGAAAGTCTGAGCTCGCTTCTCACCCCATCTCTTCAGCTGAGCCCAGACCCCCTCCAGAGGAAACACCTGGATTCCCTTGTTAAAAAATATATACTACTTCCCTAATTTATTGTTAAATGTTTATTATGATGACCCTTTCCAATGTATTTCATGCGGGTTAATCATGTTTCTATAGATCCCTCAGGACTGGGTTGTTCCATCTTCAGGTTATTTTTATAACCGCAGTTTCAACATCTCTCAGTTAGTGGAACCTGTTTGTTTGGATTCCCTCACGTATGACTGTCTGACACCGACATGTGTGACGGAAACATGTGAGCAGGTATGAGGAGGCTGCGGTGATTTCAACAGGTGCAGGTCGAACTACTCTCGTCACAATGAACCCTGAATCAATATGCAACAATGCTGACTTGACTTTTAATCATTCAAGTCTTCTTCGACATAAATCTTTTAAAGCCACTGGTTCAGCTTCTCAATCTTTTATATTACATGTAGTTTGTGTGTCTAACGTCATATACTGGAATGTTTTGATATTTTCACAGGTATTCCAGTTTCTTTCCGCACATTTTACGTCAGACATTTAAAAAAAGCAGCAGCAGCTTCGTCCTGCTCCACCTCTAAGACAAGTCAGGCAGAATGTGCAACATTTTACACATAAATATATCAGAGAACAAGTCTCTCCTGTGTAAATGTGTCTCTGAGTCATGACTGTCTACAATGAGAGAGAAGCTCGAGTCCCGCTGGCTGTGTTGTTGTCAGAGTCGACAACAACAACCGACAACCTCCCTGTGAGCGCGAGGTGTGACCAAACAGCAGTTTGTTTTGGTTTCATGCGGGTGCTCAAGGACGACGTCTACAGGATCAAAAAGTCACACCTTCTTACTTCAAAGGAAGAGTATGCGACTTTTTGATCCAGCAGATGTCGCCCTTGAGCACCCGCATGAAACCAAAACAACTCGAGCTGCATTGTTGTGTTAGCATGCTAATGCTAGCGCCCTTTAGTTAGCTCGTAGCCTCACACTCCATGTCAACACGCTGTAGATACGGCTCGGAAAACATCACAGCCAGCGGGACTCGAGTGTCACCTTCATTGTAGACAATTTACTTTAAGATGGGTGCTGTAAATAAAGGGTTTTTTTCTGATTCATCATGCCGTTCTTTAGTGCGATGTGTTTTGAAGTTTGCTTTTAGTTTTTTGTAGTTTAAAAAGTGTTCTTAATGTTTTTTTCTTCTTATCTGCAATGAAAAAACAATAGAAGAACAAAAACAGGTATTATGTAAATTATGAAAAGAGCGGATAGAGCCGGTGTGCACTCTGTAATATTTGTTTATTTATGGCGCTGTTGAACTGTGTAACCACACTTTGCATATTAGTCTCTGATAACGGCGATCTATGAGAGCCACCATGCAAAGGTTTCAGCTTTGACTTGAAGTTGATAGAAGGCGACTGTAGATCCGTTTATGTACACTTTGTTTTAAGTGCACAGTGTTTGTTATTTGTTGTTTTTTCATTATATAAAAAGTTTCAGAGACTTTGCAGGTCAGGGTCCAAAAGGAGATGTAACCAGTTTGACTCCAGAGCAGCTCAACACAAAACCACAATCCTTCCTGAAACTCTCTGAATTCTGCCTTTCAGAAACATTCCTAACACATGGGGAAATCTGTGAATTGAGTTTGCAGACGGGTTAACTTTAGAATACGATGGCGGTTTGTAATAAATGTATCTGGTTTTGGGTTTCACAGAGCGGTCTGCTGGGTGAGAGAGAGAGAGAGAGAGAGAGAGAGAGAGAGAGAGAGAGAGAGAGAGAGAGAGAGAGGAGTCCAATGTGTGAGACCTTTCACAAATCTAGTGTTACCACTTTTTTTCTTTTTTCTAACTTCCTGTTTTCATTTATCTGTGTCAAAGCAGCTTCTGTAGAATCATAATCTGGCAGCTTCAGACTTCCTGTTTGTATGTGCAGCCAGCACAAACGAACAGGAAGTGGCTCCCGTATCCTTCACAATAAACCTGTAAGGATCTATCACACAGAAATGAAATGAGTGTGAACCAAACTGTTTCATCTCGTATCAAGTGTGTATGTATCACTTTCTGTGTTTTGTCTTCATAGTCTTACTCCTGTTTTGTCTCAGTGTCTCTTGTTTTGTTTGTCATGTTGTTGCATCATCTGATTAAAAACAAAAAAGGAAGCAGTTCAAATGCATTTCTTTTTAAATTATTTGTATGCATTTTTATTTATTCATATTTTCTGCTCTTTCAATGAGCGTGCTGACTGATTTGTGTAGCCTTACACATAATACCAACAATAACACTATTAATTATGATTCAAATGTAGGAATCAGTATCTGTACAGAGTATCTGAATCGAATGAAAGCCAGAGTTTTGAGATGTCAAAGTGAGCCGAGGACACGAGCCAAACAAGGGTCGCAAACCACTGATTTCATCCCTAAAGGTTTTTGTTACTTTCATCATCTAACACGGAGCTCCCACAACCTTCAGCGAGGTGATCTTGCACTTCTACCACCCGATGTCCCTGACGCCCAGACACCGCCATCAGACTGTGTCGTCCCCACAACCACCGCCGTCCTCATTCATGCACGGCCTGCTCCGACCTCCACCTCAGCGGTGAGGAAGTGTGGACAACAGGAACGAGAGGAATACAAAGGAGGAGAAATCCTTCCTGCATATTATCTAATATTATGCTCTTTTTGTAAAGCGTCTGGAGATAACACTGATGCAGACTCTGATTCTGATATTATGTGATTGCTCAGTTTTCCTAGAGGCAGCAGGTCGACGGCCACGAGTGAAAAACAACAAGACAAGACTCAATAAACAATGTGGGATGAATCCTAATCAGCAGTGTAATTGATGAGTCGATCAATCATCTGCGGATGTTTAGTCTGCCTCGTAGCAATAACAGCGATCAGGATCTGCGGGTTTCCACCTGCTCCAACACCTGCAGGTTATTATTCCTCAGTCGCACGATTGGCTGAACCTGTTTTTTTGGATTCCTCTCTCTCTCTCTCTCTCTCTCTCTCTCTCTCTCTCTAGTATGACGATCTGACACCTACATGCGTGACGGACACCTGTGAGCAGATATGAAGAATCAGCAGGTGCAGATTACACTACCGTGGTTATCTAAAAGGCAGCATCAGAAGTGTTTATGAAATTAATCTTATACCAGATCGAGTGATTGAAGTCATATTCTTACAATATTCAGCCTTTAACGAGGATGTTTTCTAGTCTCTGATTTATATCATGATAAACTGAATCATCGCTGTATTTCGACTGTTTTCTTGCTTCTTTCTCAAAGCTTTTCAGAGTTAATCCAGAGCGTTATTATCAGATGACTATTTCAGAACAATAGCTGGAATTAAACTTTATCCAGAGCTGCAGGAAACAAGAGGAAGGGGAACGCATGTGACTCTCTGGTTTATGATCAGAAACACTGCTTTTTTTTTTACTGCAGGCCGAGAGGAGTGGTGGACTTTGCGGTTCACTTGATGTAGTAGTAACATAAACATCAGAGCAGAAGAAGTCCTGTGAATGTGTGACGGAGAGCAAAATGTTCTCGTTAACCTCGTTTCATGTTTTACCCTCCTTCAGGTCAGGACCATCACGTGCTTTCTTTCTGAACTCCCATAATAAAGTCAAATAAAAGGTCTCCATTCACACAGAGGATAACTGTGTTAACTCTACGGGACAGACAGTGTGTGTGTGTGTGTGTGTGTGTGTGTGTGTGTGTGTGTGTGTGTGTGTGTGTGTGTGTGTGTGAGCTGATAAGCAGCATGTTTGGACTTTCAGCTAACTGAATTAAGCCTATTTACCAGTCAGTCAGATTAGCAGCAGAGTTGCAGTGGGACACACACACACACACACACACACACACACACACACACACACACACACACACACACACACACACACACACACACACACACACACACACACACACACACACACACACACACACACACACACACACACACACACACACACACACACACACACCACCTGGACAGAGCGCAGAAAGGTGCAGACACCTGCCAGTCTACTATGAATTAACCGTGAGGATAAAACAACAACACACAACAATGGCTTGTGTACTATCAGCCGATTTTCACTTCGGCTGACATGTTAAGCCTTAGCAACAGTTCTGACTCACAAAACCTCAGATTCATGACCACAACAAAGACACTCTCTTCCGCTAACGCCTGGCACTGTTTAGACGGAGATGTTGAATTGACAGCTGACGAGGCGTTAATTAAAGACAAATTGGAATCGTGACATCAACGATTAGGTTGTGTATTTACAGCCGACTTGTAGGGTTCACCCAACTCTTAAAGATGTCGTCTTAAAACATTTGAAACTGCGTGATTAAATGTGTTTAAAACGCAGATTCTTCTAAAGTGGTGTATTTCTTTACGGAGTTTGGAACGTCTCCGTACGTCATCGCGTTAGCTGCTAGCCAGCTAGCTGCTGAGCTTACCTCCCCAGATCCCGATCTTGAGCTGGGACTTGTCCAGATTCTCCACATAGTCTCCGATGAACCTATTGAGCAGGTCGCTGACCAGAGACTCGAAGACCATGACTGAAAGCTCCGGGTCCGACCCTGTGTGAGGGTCTCCGAGAGAGCCTGCTGCACCTGAGTCCCCCGATCAGTTGATGTGATACAGAGTACACGAACAATCGACTCTCTCTGGAATCATGTGGTGTACGGGGATCGATTGGTGATGTCTGTGTGATGACAGTGGGGAAAGTGAAGTGTGAGAGAGAGAGAGAGCATCGATTCTGTAAGTCAGGTGACGGTGAGTCATTACGGGAGGGGCTGTATTTGCATTTATTATCTTTAATCCGTATATAGGTATAAGAATTAACAGATACTGAAGTGTGCAGGTATTATGTTACAGACTTGTTCTTAAATGTCCCTGTCCTCTTTTTCCTCTATTAGGAATCTCAAACAGGAAATCTTTATACACAGGTTTCAACAAATGAAGTTTCAGAACCCAGAAACAACAAATATTAGACAGAATTTATAAAAGAAATCAGTGTTTCTCATTAAAATATAAATGTATAAAAGGAAGTAAAACAACAAAGGGGAAATCTGCGCAAATATAGTGATGAAAATAATTAAAGAGGACATATTAAACCCCTTTTCCAGCTTCTCAAACAGTCCCCCTGTGGTCTAAATGAAACATCTGTGCTGTGCTTTGGTCAAAATATAACATGAATCAAGCACCAGAGGAGGTTTGTGACCCTGTATAATCCAGCTCTTTCAGAACGCTCCGTTTTGGTGTGTGTGTCTCTTTAAATCTCTGAGTTTTCCTGGTAGACATCACTCCTTCGCTAGCGGGAACAAAAATGGTGGACCTGCTCAAAAGTTTTGTTCTAGTCTGTGGGTGGAGTCCATGGGTGGAGATACCAGGAGAGTGGAGGGAATTTACCAGAATCCCACTTTGACCTCACAAGGAGAGCACATTTAAAACAGAGCATTTTTCTCTGTGTTGTAAGACTTATGTAGACCACAAACAAAGGACTAGATGGGTTTATTTCACATTTTGTGGGTCAGTAGACACTCAGGTTACCCAAATATATGTTCAAAAACACTGTCCTAGTGGATTTTTCATAATATGTCCCCTTTAAAATTCAATTTAAGTGCATCAAAAGGTAAAAGGTTTCTAATATAATGCAGAGCAGATTATATCAAATGTGTTATTTAATCACAATAGTTGATGCTGTAGTGTCTTTTTCTATTTCTATCACACATTGCTGTGCAGCAGTGTGTCCATGTGACCCCTAGAGGGTACCAGAGCTACAAGGTCACGTTCAGAGTTTATAGAAGCTCTGCAATGATGCAGAACATGATGTGTGTGTGTGATCTGTAGGACTGTGTGTGCAACAGAAATTGTCCCTGATAATGTATATTTATCTATGCAGGGATCACTCAACTGTCTCCCTATAGGGGAACATTTGTTTGAACTCTCTCCATGAAGGTTGCTTTTTTTATATTTCAAACCTTTCAAACTTAGACAACATCACTTATAAAGCCTTCCTGAAGAGCGGCATAAAACCTTCCTCTATAGGAGACTGACCCACTGAGTCTGCAATAATCCATCCATCATTTTTTATTTGTATAGCGCCAGGTCTACACCGAGCTCTGGATAAAATGTGTTTTAATATTGTGTCACTGCAGTTCTTTATATTTCTGCATCATGCTGTTGTTGGACAACAACTCTACACATATTAAAGGAAAAATACGCTGCTCATGTATTGCAGGTATGTGTCCCCATTATCCGTCTGAGACTTACTGACAGTTTCCTGACGCCGGCCTGAGGCCCAGACCCAGTCTTGTCTCTGGATGCTGCAGTCAACATGGGACTGAACTACATCCTGAATCACCTTGACTCCCCGGGGAACTATATGCCAGGATCCTGTTTGTTTACTTCAGCTTTGCGTTCAACACCCACATCCCAGATATCCTCCACCAGAAACTCACCCTTGGTCTTGTCTTGTTCTTGATCCCAGTTAATGTCTCAGTTAATGTGGTCTTGATTACAAACCTAGAACACACCCAGAGTCAAATCTTTTAGCCATCTTCAAAATGTGTAAGACCGTTTTGAAATAGTTTACAGTTTTCTCTAACAGTGACATGTTAGAGCTGAAGTTTGAAATGTCTGTGTGGTTCAGGGGTGAAACATTGAAGATCATATACTGTGTTAAAGATCTCGGTAAACACAGTCTGTATAACGAAAAGTTGACAAAGTGTTGATAGATCAAGAATGAATTCAGTGTAATGCTTGTAGTGTTCAAAATGCATCATTACATTTTTTCAGTCCTCTTCTTGTTGGTTTGTGTGAAACAGCGCCCTCCAGTGTTAAAAACTGAAATCACTGCAGAAGTGCAAAAGCTGCAGTTCCTTGAGTGTCCACTTGAGGGTGGCTACACACACTAGTGAATCCCCATTAGGTCCCATATTACAGTTTCTCTCATTTAGTTAGGCTCAATTCTCAAATGAGACTTATTTGGTTCAAAACATGAAGTTCAAATCTCTGAACAGTTACTTTGTGTTTCACAACAGAGTAGCATTTTTCATTCAGGCCAGTTGTTGTTTTGGTACATGAGTGAAAAAGTAAATTACACTCGTCTACAAATGTGCAGAATTACCTCTTCTGCCTTCCAACAGATCCAAACTGATCAGTCGATTCTCAGATCAAACTCTTCACAACTTGTTAACTTTCTTTCATCATTCGAGACGTCACAGACAAAATGGGTCCATTCAGTTATCAGAACGGATCAGACATACATAAATACATATCTATGACAGGGTATGTTTGTTTGAGGTGTCTGCTAAATGAGCTGTTCAGTAATGAACGAGGAAACTCATGGGTGTCCCTTTTTGGCAGATTTTCTGTATGTGACTTAACGTAAAAGACTAAAGGTGAATATTCTGAGACTGGGGCATACAGGGCATTACACCTGGTTACACCTGGGTGCATGGATACTAGAGGAAATGTTATTTATTTAGATGTATTTATTGTTTAGTTGCAGAGCAGATACCCGCACACCAATTTACCTTTTTTTACTGCTTTTAAGTCCAGTTGAATTAGTGTGCAGGTACAATATCACCTCTGCATTCTTACAGTACATTTAGCACAGTGTTAAGCTCCGTGACACACCAAGGAAATCGTCGGCCGTCGGTCCTAGTTGGACCGTCAGTGAGTGGTCGTCCGGCTCCATCGCTACCCGTCGGCCCCCGTCTGCCTTTTATTTGGCCGATTCAACATGCTGAATCTGCTTCGGCGGTCGGTGAGATGAATCACTCTGATTGGCTGTTCTGAGGTTTCATTTATCTCCAGCTCTCCTCACAGGTTCAGGAAAGCCCTTTGAGCATGCCGCTGTAGTATCCATGCTTTCACCCATTAGTGCAGGTTCTCCTTATTTGTCTCCTCCGCCTCTTCTTTTCCTTTTCCACGAAAAGACCAAGAGCTGACAACAACGCCAGCGCCATTTTCTGCGCGACAGTGGTGTGAAAATGGTCTTCTCGTATCAACGGACTACCGCCACCTGCTGGCATGGAGACTTATTTCCTCTCACAACGTACGAGGTGGTTGGCCGTCGGCTGTAGTCTTTCTGGTGTGTTCAAGTGCAACTTTTTGGCCAAGATGTGAGGCGACGCCACAGTCGGCCCTCATCGCCACTAGTTCTTTGCCATCTGCTTGGTGTGTCAGAGCCTTCATCGATGGTGTATGAATTTGTATGAATTGATGGACACTTTACACAGCAGCCTCTACCATCAGTGTGTGAATGTGTAGGTGTGACCTGTGGTGTAAAAACACTTTAAGTAGTCAGAGGACTAGAAAAGAAATATACAATCCATTGGTTTGGAACGTCAAGTCCAAACCAATGGGTGACATCACTAAGACGTGCATGTTTTTTACAGTGTATTGTCTGGGACAGGCTTTTCTGAAAAAGAGCAGCGTTTGTTTTTGTGCGTGAGGAGGTGATGAATCTCCACTCTGACTTCCACGTCTCACCGGTAACATCCCACAGTGTTGCCTCAGTAACGGCTCGAGCTGAAGCGCACGACAGTTGTTGTTGATGAAGAGGTCTAACATGTTTTTATTAAGAACATTTCCTGCCGATGGACTGTAATCAGCGTACACCTGCTGAGTGCAGCTCTGATGTCATCAGCGGGTCACGGTTCAGAGAATCACTTTGAGTGGGACGACAAGAAGATAGAAGAGATTAATGAGGTCTTAATACTAATCAAATGTTCTCCAATCAAACACGCAGAGAAGATCATTTCTCGACAACACACAGATGATGAAAAGGCCCCTCTATGGGCAAGCACTGCTTAGGCTATAAATGCTGTTAGTGTGTGGCAGCAGTTCGCCTGCTTGTTCCTATACACAGAAACATGAAGTGGACGGTCTCTTTAGTTCATCAGCCCGTTACAGAACATTTCCAGAATTATCTGGAAACAATAAACGGATATTCAATCAAACACACAGAGAGCTGGATCATCAGCGAGACGACAGGTCTAAAAACATTGTTTATTTACAGTGGAAAAACAATTTCAATGAAATCCCTCCGTCTGAAATATCCTGACACAAACAAAACACATGTAAACAAACACAACTGGACACCAATGTCAAGGTTTTTCTAATTTTCTTTGGCTCTATTTTGTTTTATAAATAAATACAATAGTGTCATGATTTGGTTTTGAGTTTCCCTGTTTTATCCCAGTGTTGCTTATTTCCCTTGTGTGTTTATGTTCCCTAGTGTTGCTGGTTTTTCCCTTGTGTGTTTCCTAGTTTCGTCTTCAGTGTTTTCTGTTCTATTTTGTCATTTATTATCCTCATGTATCTCTGTGTTCTAGTGTGTTTTGTTAGACTCTTGAGTTCTGTGTGTCTTTAGTGTTTCATGATTTATTTTGTATTGTCCTCAGTGTTTCTGGTCTTGTGTTTCTCCCTGCATTGATTGCCCTGATTGTCTTCACCTGTGTCGTTAGTCTCACCTGTGTCTGATTACCCCACGTCTATTTAGTCTCTGTGTTTCTTCCCTTCCCTGTTATGTCAGTGTACCGGTGGCTCCCTGTTTTTGAGCCCTGTGTGTTTGTTGAACTTGTTGAAGTAAGTTTTTGTTTGGCTTTTTTTGTTAAAATAAATAGTTTAGTTAATTCTGCACTTGGGTCCACACATCCTTGTTTTCCAACTGTGACAGATGTATAGAGGGG